TTCAAAATTTTCTAGACACATTTTTTTGTGATGTGGCAGCTGACTAGGCAGCTGGTTGTGTGGTCAACTAGTCAAAACCATTTCAACTCACAAAAAGATGTTTCAGGCGAGGGCAGAGTTGAAACTTGAATAGTTCTGACAATTCAAGGTTGTGAAGTAGATAGTTTCAAAGTTTATGTTTATCTTTAGATAATTCGTGTAGACTTTAGGTTTTACATCTGAAATACAAAGTCCAAACTTTTCACAAGCAAATATCACATTATAAAGTGCCATGTACTCAATGTCCAAATTCTTTTGAACCTCATTAAGGGTACGGCTAGCATAATGAATAACATTAAGTTGCTTGCACCTGTGTTGTGCTAGTATAGAATTTATGGCATTATCATCGGTTTTAGAAATGATCTAGAATGGTCGGTTCCACTTTCGTGGCTTGAAGATAGGTGCTGAAATTAATACCTACTTGTGTTGCTCATAAGTTGCTATGCAGCCCTCATCAAAATGAAAAGGTACATTTTTTTCAAAGCACTAGTCAGTGGTTTTGAAACACTAGAAAAGTTTTGAATGAATACAAAAACCTACATGGGCTTGAAAGCTACGTGTTCCTTTTTATCATGGGGATATAGTATTTTTTCTATAGCTTCTATTTTAACCTTGTCAATCTCAATTCCTCTACCGGAGATCCTATGCCTAAGAACAATACATTCCTTCACCATTAAGTGTCATTTCTCCCAAAGTAAGGACAAGGTTTCTGTCCTCACGTCCATGTAAAACTTTGTCATGATTATACAAGCAATTATTGAATGAAGCCCTGTAAATTGAAAAGAACATCCATAAATACTACCATTATTTCCTCAACAAAAGCTGCAAAGATAGCAGTCATACATCACTAAAAAGTAGTGGGTGCATTACAAAGTACAGAAGGCATCCGACGATAAGCATACATACCGAAAGGACAAGTGAATGTAGATTGTTTGGATGGACTACTATTTTGGGAGAACCCTGAGTATCCATCAAGGTAGAAAAAATGAGAATGTGTGGTTAGCATCTCAAGCCTTTGGTAAACAAATGACAACATGTAATAATATTTATGCGTCTCTCTATTTAATATCTTGTAATCAATACACATATGATATCCAACAGAAGTTCTGGTAGGATTAGCTCATTATTTTATTCAGCACAACAGTAAATCCCCTAAGAGGACACAGTGAAATGGGCTTATCCACTTACTTTCAATAACGAAAAAATAATACCAGCGTCAAGCAATCGGATTACCTCTTTTCTTACCACTTTTTCATCTTTGGATTTAATTTTCTTTGATAATCCCTTACTGATTTAGTCTCTTCTCCCATGATTATTCTATGAGTGCATATGGATGGACTTATTCCTCTTAGGTCACCCATGGCGTATCTAAATGCTTTATGATGGCTCTTCAAGGTTTTCATGAGCCTGTCTTTCTTGCTTTCTGAAAGGTTAGTGCTTATAATAACAATAAATCTTTCAGTTTTTTTCTAAATATTCTTACTAAGTTCTTTGGGTAATGGTGTTGTTCTAGTGGCGGAAGTTCTTCATCTACCCTTTCTGAGGTACTTTATAAATTTCACGTACAGGAGGTTCTAACTAAGGAGCTTCATCAAGATATTGATCAAGTAATTCTTTCGTTGAGTCTTCAAGGTCATGCTCATATTCAGTAAGGCTTCTCTCTATCTCGTCTTTCGGAGTACCAAAATAAATGGCTACAGGTTGTGATATATTCTTTCCCTTCGTATTATTTTCTTCATTATAATAAGACGATTTCTAAACATGGAAAGATAAAATTCCCACTCCTCTTCTCTGAATCAAAGAGATATTACTTCATTTTTGTAGTCTATCTCTGCATTTACAATGTACAAAAAAGGTCTCCCAAATATAATAGGACAATTAATCTTCATATATTTCAACAACAACAAGATCAATGCAATAGATAAAATGCAAAGTGACATGAACATATGGAAGAACACCATGTTGTGTTCTAAATGCCCAATCTACTAACTTAATAGTCATCTTAGTCGACTGGAGTTTACTAGAACAAATATCATCCTGTATTCTTGCATAAAGAGTATAAGGCATGACATTAATAGAAGACAAAATATCACACGAACCGTAATAAGATGTACTTCAAAAGGAGCACGGTAATATTGGTATACTTGTATCTTTGGCTTTTATGATCCCTTTGATTAGAGATGGTGTCTTTTTTTCCCTCTCAATTACTAAGCTCTTCGTGGTTGCTTTTTATCTTACTCGATCATCGCCTCATAAGGTAGGCAATTATCACGTCAATCAACTTGACTACGCATAAATGATATTTTTCCCAAAAATGCTATGACTGCAAAGCAAAACAAAAGGTAAAAAGTGATGTGAAATGGATTTGCCGGATACTCGTGTGAACATAGTGTATATATATTTGAGTATATCTTTAAAGATCTTGGTAGAGATACCTTAAGTGTATAGTCTCATAAATATCACAATATTAATTTCTAGTTTATCACTAGGTATACGTAAAAAAAGTTCTAGAGTAAAGTATATACCTGAGCTTGTCACCAAATGGTTAACATGCTGCTTTATCCCTCTTTCTTGTTAAAATTTGTATAACACATCACAACAAGTTCAATAATCCATCGAGGCATATATATGTTCTATATTTGGTATTGAAATAAAATTCACTGCTACAAAAAGGCTACAATATTATGGTCACGCCCGACGGGCCTAGGCCAACCTATCAGTGGTGACCAGGCATAGTGACTTATACATGAGTGGTTTGATTAATAACCACTGACGGGCCGTATGCAACCTCATCAACGGTGATTCCAGCCACCACCCTTGGGTGGCACACAACACATGTTGACTCTCATCCACCTTTGAAGGATGGCAATGAAACATTGGCCTGTCAACAGTGAACCACCGCCTTTTATAAGAGTGTGTGATTGTTGCTTGGCATTCCCTTTCGTAGCCCCTCCTCCACTTGGGAACCGATGCCTGCTCCTCACCTCCTCCCCTTTCTCCTCCACAGGGGCTCCCCGCCACCTCCCACCACCTCCGATCGACCTACATGAGCCTGTTGTTAGCAGATGAGCACATGTTGAATGTACTACCCTTGTGGATCATAGAAACATAAGGGCTGTTTGGTTTGGACCCTCGACACTGTGCCTGGAAAGGTGAGGCGCCTGGATTCAGTCTGAGATGGTGGAAAATTTTGGCCTGGCCAGGCCAGCATGGTGTACTTCAATTTGGTTCTTTTCCTGGCCTGGTAGTGTCATTACTGAATTGTTTATTGTTTTAAATAGTACCCATGGCTGCCAGGATGATGTTACACCACGCCAGGTGCAAATACTAGTACGCCTGGGCCAGGCTAATACTAGTGCCTGGGCTAAGTTATCATTTCTTCTATTCTTTATTAACATGCCAGGCTAACTGCCTTGCTAGGAACGCCTGGGCCAGGCACTCTCAGGATACGAACCAAACAACTGCCAGGCATATCTCAGAAAGGTCCAGGCCAGGCATACAATATTGTGGACATCAACCAAACATGTTGATATTCTAATGTAGGCATGCATAGTAGTTGGTTGGCGTCGCCGGAACCCATCGTTGCCGATGAAGTAGATAAAAGCCCAACAATTCATTCATCTGGAGTATCCCTGAGAGCATCCCCTCTCGAGGAAGGTGACTATGCCAGGCAGGTCCGTCCGCCAACGATAGGTCCACCGCTCATTCACCAGTTAGTCACGATGCACCAAAGGTTTAACAACAAGTGGTTGCTAAGATCTAATCAATTTAATTTTGCACCAATGATTCCTCACAAAAAAATCGATGCACCAAACGTTTACCTGTGATGCAGTTAGTTTCTCAACCCAGATTTGAATTGAGTGATGTGGGAGCCGTGACTAGCTTTGCGGGTGTATGGTGTTTTTCTCCCTCTTTTGGAAAGCTGCTTTGATATGGAAAATGCACAGGAGCTCTTGGGTGCTCCACCCCCCTATATGAATATCAAATTCAAAATTTACCAGAATTTTTTAAAAAAACTGAAATCTTGGGATATCGAACATGGTTGCCCAATCTACTTCCATGTGAAATTTCGTGAAAAAATCCTAGATTTTTTTAATTTTCCCCATATTTTTTTGAATTTAATGTTCATACAGGGGGGGTGGAGCACCCAGGGCCAAAAATCCATGTCCCTTTAATATGCTCAATACTCCTGCTTGCGACAAAAGCAATCCTTATGTTTCTGAATTAAAAAGAAAATGCATGACTGTTTATATTAGGAATTGGAGCTATAGTTTTTAAAATCACCATTCTTTTCAAAAAATAGCAAGGCAGACAGGGTGATAAGCTTGTTTTGCAATTTCATTTATCCAAAGAGCAGTAAGTGTTTATTCAAAGACTTGGCCTAACTACCATTACGAATATAGTAGGAAACTGGGAAAGCATATGCCAGTTGGAGCTAGAAAATGAGCCCTTAAAGCAGCACCATGGGTTACTCACGTCACAGCTTACATCCTTATCCGCTCCCATGTCCCATCGCCAATTCAATGTGTATTTATTTATGATTATAACATTAATCTAATCAGATTGAGATGTCATTAAAAAGAAGATCACGAAACAACCCCACGGAGCATGGGACATGGGAAGACATAATTTCTAATTAGCTGGCTGAATATGATCTTTATCCATAGAGATCTATGACCGTACACTAACTTCTTCATATATAATTATTTATATATACTCGAAATGCTATTTGCTAATGACATTTGAACAAAGATGGATCAGTTTCTGGCACCTACCAAAAGATGCGTCGGTCTTAGTCAACCAGAGAAAAAAACCACGTGGAACTTGTCATACTTTTTCACAACCGAAAGAACAGCAGTATTAATATAAATAGATGTCTCGTGCCCGCCACAGTATAAGCAAAGCCACTGAGCCACCAATCCTGCTTACAGTGACGAACATACTGAGCCTATTTGTGAGCCATGGCTTCCAGCTCCAGCTTCCGGACATGGCATTGCTTGCTTGCCCTCTTCCTCCTCTCCTCGGCGGCCTATGGGCAGCTCTCGCCATCATTCTACGCGAAGAGCTGCCCATCGCTTGAGCTCATCGTGCGTGCCACCATGATCAAGGCTCTCCTCGCCGAGCGCCGAATGGGGGCGTCCCTCCTTAGGCTCCACTTCCATGACTGCTTTGTTCAAGTAAGTAAACTAAACCCATAAAGCAAACATAGTTATGTCGATTGATTTATAGTTATATACTCCCTCTGTAAACTAATATAAAAGCGTAGGGAGTACATGGTACTGATTTTCTTTTCACGGAGAAGGTCAGGATTAACTGTGGAATTTTGTTATATGCATAGGGCTGCGACGGGTCCATTCTCTTGGATGACGTGGGTAGCTTCGTGGGCGAGAAGACGGCCTTTCCGAACGTGAACTCAGTGCGGGGCTACGAGGTGATCGATGAGATCAAGAGGAACGTGGAGCTGGCCTGCCCTGGCGTCGTCTCCTGCGCCGACATCGCCGCCCTCGCAGCACGGGACGGCGTCTTTCTGGTGCGTACAATACAATACGATCAATGATAGTGGGTACGTCGGCTGTACGTTCGGGTTGCTGACTACGCTTGGATCGATCGGTACGTGTTCCTGCAGCTTGGTGGGCCCAGCTGGGCGGTGCCGCTTGGCCACCGGGACTCGACGACGGCCAGCCTGACTCAGGCGAACAGCGACCTCCCAGGGCCCACCTTAAACCTGGACCAGCTCATCGCCGCGTTCGCCAAGAAGCAGCTGAGCCCGCGGGACCTCACGGCGCTGTCCGGCACCCACACCATTGGCTTCTCGCAGTGCCTCAACTTCCGCGACCACATCTACAACGGCACCAACATCGACCCGGCGTTCGCCACGCTGCGCAAGGGCGCCTGCCCCGCCCAGGCCCCTAACGGCGACACCAACCTGGCGCCGCTAGACGTGCAGACGCCGCTCGTCTTCGACAACGCCTACTATCGCAACCTGGTGGCCAAGCGCGGCCTGCTCAACTCCGACCAGGTGCTCTTCAACGGCGGCTCCCAGGATGCGCTGGTGCGCCAGTACGCCGCCAACCCGGCGTTGTTCGCCTCCGACTTGGTGACGGCCATGATCAAGATGGCGAGCCTCACCCCGCCCAGCGGAACCCCCACCCAGATTAGGCGTAACTGCAGGGTCGTCAACAGCTGATCCAACATCCATTTGCGCATCGTATGTAGTACTCCTACATGCGCAACATGTAAGTACGCATGCATGCATGACAGAATAAGAGCCCTCTGGTTCGGGTAGTAATTTGTAATTTTGTACTCCCTCCGTAAAGAAATATAAGAGTTTTCAGATCACTACAGAGGGATATGTATCTGGTCCTGGCTCGGGTCGAGAGGTGAGTAACCGGACCCTCCACCTCCAAGATTGTAAAATACCTCCTTCATCATGTAATCTCCCAAGGTATATGGTCTTTTATGCAAAATCTAAGGGTTGCGTACGGCCTGTAAACTATAGACAACATGCGGGTTGCAAACGTCTTCTTTCGGTGAATGGTTGTATCGATCCGGCTGGTGTGTGGTGCACATCGAATTAAGGGGAGGTCCACGCATGTGGCTTCACCTTCATGATTGATCTCTGTCAGCCCCCTTCGCTCCGGAATCGCATCCGTGTAGTTCAAGCGGAGCCTCCACATTTTGATAGCTCTTCTTTCCTTGTTCTTGCTGGCGCCGACCAGACCCTGTTTATTGCCCTCTATGGCAACAAAGGCAGCTCTGGTCGGCGTTAGAAGATTCTCCATGATGTGTGCTTGCCCGCATAGCAAGTGGGGACGCGTATTTCTCTAGGAAGGTGGGAGTGTGTGCCACAAGAGCTATATATATGCTCATAATGGTTATATGTATATCTTTTCTGAATTTGCAATTTCGCTAAATCGCTTTTGTGAGAGAAAGAAGAGTGAGGTGAGGCGGAGCTCCGAGGCCGAGCAGGGGGTGCTGCGGCAACGCGCGGGGCTGCAGGCGAGGCTGAGCCGGAGCCGCAGATGTCGTGGTGGCGAGTCAGAGGATTGACCAGTGCGGATGGGTAGCTTTTAGAATAAGAACCGGTTTGTTCAGATAATATATATACATGGGGTTGTGTTATGATCTCACTATGGTTTCTCTCTATAGATCTCACATACAACAATACAAGTTTCGGTTACAGGATGGAGCAGAAAGGAAAGGTAGGTGGGGAAGGAAGTGTAGCCACCATGACTTGTCGTGTCAATGGCTCGATCCAACTTGGATGCCTTCCCCTAAACAGTTGTCCTCCTTAAGTAGCTGATGTCGACGCACGGGACATGGTCTTCGAGTCATTGAGACAGTCGGGCCCCATGTACTTGTGATTAGGCTGCACTATCCTGGTTGGCTTAGTGATGACGTGCTCTTTCCCCTAATTGGCCCCATTAGCGGTAAGTCTTGCCACTGCAACATCTTCGGTGGACATGGCAGTTGGTTTCGCTGCCATGCATAGAGGTTTTTGTTGCAGTGCGATCTGGGTCGCTGACCTCCCTCCCCTCTTGAGAGGCGGCTTCTCCCCAAGCCAATGATGAAGGGAATCGCTCCTTGATAACCATGACATCCTCCCACACGGCATCCAATATGGCAGGGTTAGACTAGTGAACCAGGACATGCACCTACCGACTTGTAGGTGCACGACCCCACTGACACCAAGAATTTCAATAGGGAGAAGGTCATACAACCGTTCACCGGAAGAAGAACGTTTGCAACCCGTTCACCGGTTAACTAATAAAATAAGTAACCCTGTAGCGCTAAAAACATGTAGGGAACGGAACAGGACTTTCAGGAGATATCCATATGCCAGGAGGATTCGAAAGCAGGACATTGCTTTGTAATCCTGTAGCGCTAACCAGTGCACAACAAGCTACTTATTTTATTAGTTGGATATATCGGACGTGGAGTTTCTGTTCCCAATCTAAAATGCGCCCTGATAAACACTAAAACCAAAAAGTAGTAAAACAATTAAAAAAATCCAAATATTTTTTGTGATAACCTTTGACAAATGATTTGTACGCTTGCAACATTTCAGCATGAAATGACATTCGTGAAAGTCATGGGAAAAGAAAATCGGTACTCAAAAAATGCTAGTTTTGAATCCACGATTGTCATTTCGTGCTGAGATTGTGCAGGCGTACAAAACATTTGTCAAAGTTTACCATAAAACATTCGGAACTTTTAAAATTGCTTTACAATTTTTTTGATTTCACTTTCATCAAGGTGCATTTGAACTCGGGATCAGAATAGGACTTTCAGGAGATATCCACCTTTATATATGGCTAGCAGGAGAATTGATTTTGAACAAAAATGCGCACTGCACGCTGGCGAGGGACGAAAATATTGTCGTCGAGACCGTGAAGAGCCTTGTCTATAATGTACGAGGGCAGAAGCTAGCTTCCGATCGTACAATTCTTGAATACTCCTATTAAATAGAAAAATCCTAGCCTGGAAATAAACCAATAGTTTCACTCTTAAATATAAAAGAGAACACTGCGAGCCCTGAAAACTGCATGTCAAATGGTATGGAATGTACTAAATTAAACGTACTAAATATCGGCATCAATGAACAAATCAATGGCATGCCTGAAACTCTGAAATTTACAGAGTGAATCGCTGATGCAGCTGAACAACTTCGGCATCGTTCCTTCTGTTTAATTCTTTATTTATTGACGAACTACAGCCTGGAGAAAGAGAAGTGTAGAGTAGACGAAGAAAGCAGTGTAATCTTATTCTTCATCTGTACATGAAAACCGTTTATGTCTGCACAGTGAATGCGATGACCCAGTTTTGATAATTGTTCGTACGAATATCTCCGTGATATGTTGTGGCTTGTACTAATAATTTGGTGCTGCGATCATGCTGTATTCAAAAACAATAAATTTGACATGAATGGACGCGGTGATGAACACTAAATTCGTTTGAAATGCTGGAAAAATTCAAAAAAATTCCAATTTTTTTTGTGGTGAACGATGCTTGAGTGCGCGATGTTCATGCCAAATTTCAGACCATTTGGACATTTGAGTAGCTCCCAGCAAAAAAGATAAATTTGGTGTCCGTGAATATGTTTACTGTTTTGGATTTTCCTAATAATTATTTTAAAATTTACTGTTCATAAGGTGTAGATGAACTCGCTTCGGATTGGATGTTCGAGATATAACAAGCAATATTCTTTAAAGGTAGAGAGCACCATACTCTGATTCAATACCCACAAACAAATAGATATAGAGCGGGAACATCTCATATGAGGTTGCCCACATTTGTTTCAAATCATTTCTTCTATGTGATGATATAAAAGCTATGCTATGTGTAAACTGTACAGAAAAGGCAAGTGTTGCACTGGCTAGAGTAGATATATATACTACAAGAAAAATTGTTTAAGCCAGGTATTTTGTTGTTTGTTGAGCGTATTTTCACGGGCACTGGTTAACAAAGTATTTGCACTCGGTAACCATTTTTATTTTACTTTTTTATTCAAATATCATGCACAATATAAGAAACTGCGCACATTTTCTGATGTCATAAAGATTATCTTACAAATTCACAAACATTTTTAAAATAGTGAACATTTTTAAGTTCGCTAACATTTTTTCTACAAATTTGTGAATATTTATTTGAAATTCTCAGCAGTCTTTTAGAATACCGTGATATTTTTTTAATCAACGGGCATTTTTTGGAAATTGGTGAACAACTTTTAGAATTCAGTAAACAAATTGTTTTGACAAACATGTTTTAATTTTTTGTGAATACGTTTAAGACATTCATGACTTTTTTTGAATTTGTGAAGTTTTTTTAAATTTCACGAACATTGTTTCTGAACTTTTTTTTTCAAATTGGGAATATTTTTTAATATACGAAAATGTTTTTGAAAATTGTGAACACTTTTTGAATCATCCAATGTATTCTGATGGATAGATTTTTTTAAAAAAATATCAGCTTTTTTAAAAAGGGAACTTTTTATAATCCTGAATTAGTTAAAGAAGAAGAAAAAGGAAACAGAAATTCTGTTAAGAAATGAAAAAACAGAGAGCCCGACACACTGGCAGGCCCAAAAAAGCGGCTTAGGCAGTGGGGGGTACGCGTTGCGCATCCTCCCAGCACGCTGGGCACC